CGAGTAGCCCCGGTTCGCAGCCCACCCCCTCGAGCCCATCCAGGTCGCCGTCCAGGACGGTGCGTCACAGCCGCGCCCTTGGGACCGTGGTCGGACTTTGGCCCTCCTCTGCCTCGTCGTCCTCCTCCTCCTCCGCCTCCTCCTCCGCCTCCTCCTCGTCGTCCTCCTCGTCGTCCTCCCCCGTTTCCTCCTCCATTTCCTCCTCTGCCTCCTCCTCGCCCTTCCCTTGCTCCTCTTCCCCTGAACCCTCCGCCTTCCCCCCTCCGCCCACCCTCGCATGGATCAGGACATGCGATCGGGATGATGTTTCAGCGTGGGACCCAGGGACTGGGTCTGGCAGGATGTCCGCCGTGTGCCCTGACTCCAGATCTGCTTGCTTTGGTTGATTTTCCGAGCTAGATTTGCGTTGGAAGCGCACCCCAAACGATGCGATCAAGTAGGGCGGACATTCCCGCCTCCGAAAAAAGCAGGGCGTATATTCCGCACCAAGCATGGCGGAATCGGCGGTGGCAAAGCAGGGCGAAAGTCGGCATCAAAGGAGCTGTGAAGGGTAGCGCGGAGTGTCCGCCTCAGACATCGCCCGAAATAGGGGCGCATCCAGGGTCAGGGTTCCCCGCCCTGCCCGCGGACCTCCTCGCCCGCGGCTCCATCCTCCGCGCGCTTCTCCCGCGCTCCCGTCCGTCCGACCCGACCTATAGCTCGGTGAGCTCCACCGCGTCCGGCGTCCGTGCGAAGAACGAGCCAGAATCACCTGGCCAGATCCGGAGTCGGGCGTTGCGCAGTGGGGGTCGATAGATGGTATGAGAGATCGGTTCATGCATGTTTCTTACAATCGAGCAAGATTTGTTCAGTTACTGTAGCATAATGCAAATGTGTGTACTGCAATCTTGTACCTTCGCGGTTGATCATTTTGTGGCAACCCGATCAGGGGCGCGTCATCCCCCCCGACAAAAAGAAAAGGTGCGCATCCTGTGCCCCGAAGGTGCCCAAAAGGGGCACGAAAAGGGGCAATGCCCAAGACGCACCTATCGCGAGATCTGGAGCCAGGGTGGCCGATGCCGTCCGGCCTCGCGGAGCAGCTCACGCCCCTGCCTCTGCGGCACCGGCCGAGCGGCGCAGCTCGTGGCTCCGCCGAGCGGCACAGGGCTGGACCTGAACGCTGTTTGGCTCCACTTCGGCTGTGTCTTGTTTCAAGGGCTCCCTCGAGGGCGCGAAGTTATTCGCGCTTCGCGCTTCGCGGTCCTCGTTCCTCCTCCCCCTCCTCCTCGTCCTCCTCTTCTCCCCCTTGGGGGGGCGGCGCGAGAGCGCGAAGTTATTCGCGCTTCGCGCTTCGCGCAGCGCGAAGCGCGAACTTAGGAGCCCTTGTTGTTTTTCGTTTTGGCAGGGAGGTACAGGAAAACACGTAGAACAAAACGAACGACGAAACGAAGACAAAACGAAAACAGTGGTTGGGTCCAGCCCTGCGCGGCAACGGCGCGGCGCCCTGTGCCGCCCGCTTCGGGGGAGCCTCCTAAGGGTCCGGGAGCAAGGGAGGCAGCGACGTCGAGCAGCGGCTGTCGTTCCAGGGGAGCGCGCGCAAGGGCGAGACAGGCTCGTGGGGCCGAAGAAGAATCGAGGAAGGCAATCACAGGCGGTTCTTCTCCCCCTATCCCCGAGCTCCGCCCGGAAAGTGTGGCTGTTCGGACATGAGGGGGGAACTCTGGGACACACCCCCAGGGGGCTATTCGGACGCACCCTTATCGAGGATGGACGCCCATCCATTGTATATCCCAGGGTCGGGCCCAAAATTTTTGGTCCAGTCGAAAATCCTTGAAAGTCGGGGATTGGGGTCGCTGTATCCCCCGTCGGGCAAAACGGCACAAACACACATTTTCGAGAGTCCGCGCGGATTTCTTGGACCTGCGCTGGGCCAACTGGCGGCGCCTCCGGCGCTGCCCCTGGCGCGCCCTGCGCGCCAGGGAGGGGGTCCAGGGCCGATCCAAGAAGACTCCGCGGACCTCCGAAAGTTTGTATCTATGCGTGTTTGCTCCTCGAAAGGCAGAGCCAGCATAAACATCTACCGTGGTCACCCCCAAAGGCGCGAAGGTAATCGCGCGTCGCGGTCTGGGCCAGGGCGGTCGCCCTTCTCCACAGAGAAGCGGCGCGAGTGCGCTGAGCCTCGAGGGCGCGCGAAGGTAAAACCGTGTATCGCGGGGCGCGGTGCGCGAAGTCAAGGCCAAGATAAACATAAGCTTTCGGAGATCTGCCCAGATTTCTTGGGTCAGTGCTGGATCCCCTTGGCGGCGCCCCTGGCGCCGCCCCTGGTGCACTCCGCGCGCCAGGGAGGGGGTTTCAGCGCCGATCCAAGAAGTCCGCACGGCCCTCCGAAAGACTATCGTTATGCTTTGTGCCTTCTATGGGGGACGGCCGCCATGAACTGTGTGGGGAGAGGTAAATGCCCGCATGCCCCCTCGCCTTCCTTTTTGGGCTTGGGAGGGACTGCTGGTCGGCGTCTTGGTCGTCCTCGTTTGACCCGAGAGGGTCCCCGCGAAGTTTTGATGGTGTGCGTGTGCGTGTGCGTGTGCTTGTGTGTGTGTTGTGTGTGTGTGTCGAGAAGCCGCGGACCGCGTGCGGGGCCGCTGGTTCCAGACCCGATATCTCATCGTTCGGGTGCGCGGCTGTGACATGCACAGGTCAACAGAGCAAAATGCAGCAGCATACTTTCTCGAAGGTCCGCGCGGATTTCTTGGATCGGTGCTTGGCGCCCCTGGCTGCGACTCTGGTGCCGCCCCTGTCGCGCTCCGCTCACCACGTGGGGGCCAGCGCCGATCTAAGAAATCCGCGTGGAGCTCCGGAAGTTATGTTTACGCAGTTGTTTGTTCTTCGGAGCTGTGTTCTCTTCCTGTCGTAACAGTTAGCCGCTCGCCAGGTGGCCCAGGAGCAAGCAAAGACCCCCCCTGGCTCGGACCAGTGCAACGATCGGCGCGCCATCGCATTTTGGCGAACCCAGCGGCCTTCGGCCCATCGCGCCATCGTGCCTGGGTTGTAGCTTTTGAGGCGCAGTGGCAGCGATTGAGGGCCACAGTATATTCCTGGCCATGTCCTTAGGGAACACCCCTGGGGGGGCTTCTAAAAATTAGGAGCATTGTCTGGGCGTGTGACGGTTTCGGGGGATGTGGACCTTCCAGTTAGGGCCTCTTTCGGGTGCATCTTGGGGACCCTCCTGCGGTCCTCTAACGGGGGTGGGCCTCTTGGGCCCGCTCCCTCGCTTGTTAGGGGTGCTGGACAGCAGGGGGGGGGAGAGGAGGTGGTGGATTCCCAAACAGACTTGTTCCTCGGGTCCGTTCGCGAGCGCACTTTGGGAGGGCGTCTTGGGAGGTCCTGCGGCAGCATTTGGGGCTCGCTCGGGGCCTTCTTGGGTCCCTCTTGGGGCTCTTCGGGGACCTTCTTGGGGGCTTTTGGGGGGCCCTCCTGTGGCCATCTTGGAGATGATCTATCCAAAGACCAGGTCGTATATGTCAGTCCCCCCGTCAGGGCCTGACAAATTGCCTCCCGGGGCCCTGTTGGGGCGCTCTTGGGGTGCCTTTGAGAGCTCTTCGGGCCGTATTGGAGCTTTAGTGGGCCTTTCTTGGGCCATCTTGGAGCCACCTGAAGGCCTCAAGAGCGTATTGAAGCGAAAAAGCGAGGAGCGAGGTAGAGCGATTAGTAGCAAGCTAGGTGCGCTCACGCCTCATCTGACATCCTATCCCTCCCTCCCATCCCTTCGTGGCGCTGATTTTTCTCTATCCGCTGACGCGTGTTATGGCCGACCTGCGACTCCCAGAGAAAGGCCACTTCTTGTTATGCGCAATCAGAACCAGAGAAGGTGGCGGGTGAGCAGGACGATGAGCGGGAGGAGAAGGACGAGGACGAACAGCATTAGCAGGAACTAAAGCGGAAGGATCGTGAGGAACGGTGGAGGAGGAGAAATGAGGGGGGCGACAACGATAAAGAAGGATTTGGACTCGGAAAGGTGGCCCGCGCTGGGGCGAGACGAACAGCATCAGCAGCAGCAGCAGCAGCAGGAATTGGGGTGGAAGGGGCGGAGGAGCAGGAGGACTAGGGGTTGGCAGAGGAGGGGAAATGAAAGGGGGACCACAATGAAGCAAGATTCGGATCCAGAAAAGTGGCCCGCGCTGGGGCGAGAGTGCCATTCTGAACGACGGGAGCAAAGCGCTGATCCGAAAATGAGGCCCACGCTGCAGCGAGAACACCATTTTGAAAAACCGAAAATGAGCGGATTGCAAAAACAAAAAGAAGCAATGCTTGAAATCTCCTGTGTGCCTGGAAAAGATACGCAGATGGTGCGGGAGATCTTCCGGACAACTTCAGGGGAGGAATGAGAGTAGTATTCATATTGCTGGATTGTGAAAGGAGGTAAGTCTTCCCCTAAGGGGAAGAAGCAAGTTTGAAGAACTAACTCGTTAAACCCCCTCGTCCAAATGGCTGTCGGAATTCGTGTTCACTCGTGTGCTTTCATGTTTTTCAGCACGAGCGTTCAGACGCGGCGATCGCTTCGATCAGCGTCGGCGCAACGGAAAGGAGACGGAGGAGAAGAGAAAGGAAGAGGGAGCAGGGGGCAAGGGGGCAAGATAGCTCCAGCGCCCGACTGAAGTATTCTGTGGGTCCAGTAACCAGGTGTCCAGTCTGGGGTGTCCAGGGGGTCCAGGGGGTCCAGGGGGTCCAGGGGGCCCGGGGTGTTCGGGGTGTCCGGGGTGTCCAGGGTGTCCCGGGTGTCCAAGGTGTCCGGGGTGTCCGTGCCCGAGGTGTCCAGGGTGTCCCGATTAGATGGTGCACTTTCTTTTTTGGGGCATCTCGGTCTGTTCCCAATGGAGATGGTTCTCGCCACTAGGGTCACGTGATGACGCGAGCAGCGTGCCGGAGCCGGCCCGCGGAACAGTTCGAGAATTTACAGGAAGAGCACGGCGAAGACGCACCTACCATACACCGTGAGAGCGTATCCAAAATCTCCGTTTTCATCACGGATTGCCGCCCACTGGCCGTTGTTGTGAATGGCGCTACGGAACTAGAGACGTATGCGCTCCAACCGATCTTCGACCGCGTCATCCGCACGATTTCCGATATTCTCGAAAGTGGGTGGAGGCCAGCTACGATAAATAGGACACCACTCTTTGGCACAAGCGGGAATGAAATAAGATTTCTGATTACCTTGCGAATTACACCATGGACGAAGGCAAATCTTGGTACCAAATTTGTTCTGACCTTCTGGCTGCGGAGAATGTTAACATAAGTGTCCATGCTGACGGAGGTATATGGCGAGACTTTTGCGCATCGGCAGCTTGGATTTTTGAGGCGGTTTGGAGGCGCCGGAGTGTTGGCCATTCCACGCCAGTGGTCATGGGCGGCTTATGATGCTCTGCAAGCGTCGCTGCCGAAGCACTCGCCTTGGAAGAGGCGGCCCAGGCAGTGCAACGAATCACAGTCAGCAGTCTGCCGTCCTAGCAAAGACCATGGCTTTGCGAAAGAAGAAAGAAAAAGGAGGAGGAGGAGGAGGAGGAGGAGGACAGTGTCGAGGACGAGGACGACGATGATGAAGACGAGGACCGCCGCCTCCTACTAGAACTTCTCTCGGAGCGTCTGCCGCGCTTCTTGCGGCCTCCTCCCGCGTGTGGTCCCGCCTGTTCCCTGGGCCTTCGAATGACGATAGGAATGTGTAGGGGACCAGATGCGAACCCTACCCCTACCCCCCACGATTTCTGAGGGGAGGGGTGGGGTTCGCTTCGCTCGAGAGCTCCCGAACGAAGTGAACCCCGCCCTCCCCCTCAGAAACCGTGGGGGGTAGGGGTAGGGCTCGCATCTGGCCCCCTTATGTGGGCGCTGGCTTGCGGAAGCCCGCGCGGACTCCCTGGCGCGCAGGAGCGGGCCGGGGGGCGGCGCCAGCGGCGCCGCCAGGGGTGGCGGAGTTGGGGGGCCCACCGCCGACCCGAGGAATCTTCGCAGACCTCCAAATGTTTATGCTCCCTCTGCTTTTTTTGGTTTTGGGATGGTTGGCCCCTGGAGGCTTCCTGGGCCTTCTCCAGACCAGGGCTGGACCCAAACGCCGTTTTGCTGGACTTCGGCTGTGCTTTATTTCTCGTATTGTCGGGTAGGTACAGGAAAGCAGGTATAGCAAAACGACGAACACAACGAAAACTAAACGAAAAACAACGTTTAGGTCCAGCCCTGCTCAAGGCCTCCCTGCGCCCTCCTGGGCGTCTTGGCGGCCTCGTGGGGGCCGCGCGTACCCTGGGCGGCCGAGCCTGAGGAGGTTGGGCAAGCCTGTCCGGGGACAGAGCGAGGCGGTAGAGGGAAACAATCCGTGGACACTCCCCCGCTTCCCTTGTGTGGACGACGATCAACGAAGAGGAAGCATGCTGCCAAATAAATTCCAGATGTCTTTGATCATGTTTTTAAATATGTAAAGCATGTATGCATTTCTTCTGACATGTTAAACACATTTACTTCAATGATATCAGAAAAAACACCAAGCAACATGTTTTAGGACTATATGTCTATGGGGCTATATGGCTGTAGGGCTACTAAGGCTATAGGGCTATATGACTATAGGGCTATGGGGCTTTAGGGCTATAAGGCTATAGGGTTATAGTGCTATAAGGCTATAGGGCTATAGGGCTACAGGGCTATAGGGCTATTGGGCTATGAGGCTATAAGGCTATTAGGCCTATTGGGCTATAGGGCTATTGGGCTGTACGGTTATAGGGCTATTAGGGCCATTGGGGCTATAGGGCGATAGGCCCGTATGGCTATAGGGCTATAAGGCTACAAGGCTATAGGTTAATAGGGCTGTATGGCTACAGGGCTATAGGGCTATTAGGGCTATAGGGCTATAGGGCTTTGGGGCTTTTGGGTTATAGGGCTATAAGGCTGTAGGGCTATAGGGTTATAGGGCTACCGGGCACCCGGACACCCGGGCACCCGGGCACCCAGGCACCTGGGCACCCGTTGCAGGCACCCGGGTACCCCTGGGCACCTCCGGGCACCCCCGGGCACACGGGCACCCGGGCACCCCCAGGCACCCCCAGGCACCCCCGGGCACCCGGGCACCTGGGCACCCGGGCCGGCCACCGAAATCGGCGACGCAGGTCTTTTAAACATGAGTCCAGCAGGACTCTACAGAGGCAAGCTCTGGTTGGGGAATGTGTGGATTGTTAGGGTGTCCACTGTCATGGCATCCACAACGCTCCCCAAACTCAAAGTTGGCTCGCGCGGGGAAGCCTGCGGGCGTAGTGCAGCTCGTTCAACCCATCGCCGACACTGATCATTAGGGGGGGGCATTGGCAGCCTGAGTGAGGGAACGCTAACATTAGGGGGATCCACCGCCGCCGGCATGAGTGTTCGCTAACATCTTCCGTGGCATGCGTATGTTTCCGGTCGGGGAGCGGGGGGCCCCCGCAGGCCCTCGCAGCCAGCGGTGCTCAGTCGACGCCGGCCAGGAGCCGGAGGAGGGGCCGTCCGCCAGAGGACCTGGGCGGGTCCAAAGGTCTACAGCCAACGCGCCCAGCAAGGCACGCGCGCTTTCATCCAGGGTGCCCTTGTGTCCTTGCCTCTGTGGCCCGTCCTTTGCCGTTTCCACGGGTCGCCCGCCGCCCCAAAAATCTCAATTTCGGCTTCCAAGGATTTTGCGTCCTTGCCATTCGTCCTTGATACGCGTTTTTCCCCAATTAGGCTTGCCCAAGGGGTTCTTACTCTCTATTTTTTACTGTGCCCGTTCCCCAGGGTTCCCTGGGTTCCCAGCCCCCGGTGCCTCCTAGTGTTACTTTGCCCGTTCTCCGGGGGTTTTCTGGGTTCCTCGGGTTCCCCAGGTTCCCCGCTCCAGGTGCTTCATGCCAAGCATTGCCAAGAAATGCCAAGCAATGCCAAGCCCTGGGCCCCCCAGGGTCCTCGCCCCCGGTGCCTCGTGCCAGGCAATGCCAAACAATGTCAAGAGATGCCAGGCAATGCCAAGCACTGCACCTGTGCAATAGGAAGCTTTCTCCTAATTGAGGTCGCGTCTGATTCATGACTGTATTCGCCATGGGGGAAATCGGTCCTGAGGGAAACGGGTCCTGAGGCTTTTCGCCGTTTTCGGGCTCTCGGGGCCCTCCATGGGCCCCAGGACTGTCAGAAAACGCCTCAGGATCAAGCCTCTGTCCTGGGGAAGGCCCCGCGGTCCAGGACCTGTTTCCCTCAGGACACGGTTCCCCCATGCGAAATTCGATGCTTCCAAAATGGGGTCCGAGTAGATGATGATAGCGCCGCATCGCCGATGCAGCGGCGGTGCGGTTCGATGTGGAGCTCGATTTTCTCCACGCCGACGTGGTTGATTATTACATCGCCGACGTCGCCGATGCATTGGCGATGTATCAGCGATCTTCCGACCTCATTTGCTAGGATCTCTTTGGGGAGGGGCCACAGCCAGATCCAGTTAATCCGCAGAGGGTCTGGCCAATACCTCCTTATCCTTGCCATTCCTCTTCTCTCCTCCCTGCCCCCTTCTCCGTCTTCCCTCCCTTCGAATTCGCAATTCCGACGGCTTTCGAGAACCTCGTCACAAATCCCGGCGCGGGTGTCCCCCCCGAACATTGGTCGCTGTTTAACTTCGAAGAAGTGTGGAAGCAAGCATTCGCCATTTGCAGAGGACGAGCCGACCCGACTGGGTCTTGGGTATTGGGTCCTTCTTCAGCGCCCCCTGGCCGCGTCGGGATTCGTGAGGAGGTTCGCGTAAGCAGTTAGGGACTGCGAATTCGAAGGGAGGGAGGATTGAGCAGGGGGCAGGGAGGAGGGAGCAAGGAAGGCATGGAAGCATTGGCCAGAGGGGGGTGGTCGGAGTTGGTTAGCTGGGTGAGCGGCTAGGGCTCGCAAGCAGTGACTTGTCTCCGCCTGCACGTTTCTGCTCGCGGCGTGTTGGCTCGCCAGGCCCGCCCTTTCCCCCCATCTCCACCTTTATCTCTCCTCCCCCATTCCCTCTGTGTTCGCCCTCCTCCTGCTCCCCACCCCCTTGCCTTGACCCTCTACCTCCCTCTTCCCTTCTCCATCCTGTTCCCCAGGGCAACATGTTCAGAAATTGTCCAGGGCGTCCCGCCTGGCCGAAGGGAGGTGGACTTGATTGGAGTTGCGTTGGTGTGCGTGCCGCCACCGTGCCTCCCCGTGTTCTCGGAGCGTTATCGTGAGACTTGATGGCGCCTCCAGGGCTGTTTATCCTGTCTGGATGTGCTTGCTCGGGAATGTTGTCTGCGGTGTCGGAGCACCGCCGTCCTATCGCCATCGTCCATTGACACGATCGCACAAGTTTTTCCGGCTATGCAAGTAGCCCGCGCCACGATCCCGGAGCTCGCGCGCAGGGTCAGCACCGGGGCGGCATTGTGGGGTGCGGGCCAGCCGTGCCCAGCCTGTGCCCCAGTCCTGCACTGCCCCGCTGTGCCGGCGACCACTTGCGTCTGTGAGACGCCGTCCCCGCTGGCGGTGGCCGTCGCGGTGACGGTGTCGGCGTTGCTGGTCGTCACCGCGTACGTGCTCGGTGCCGTGTGGGGGCTCCCGACCGTCGAGCGGCGCTCGGCGTACGAGGCTGGACCGACAGTCGTGGTGAAGTAGGCTGTCCCGTCGCTTGAGGAGCAGGCTCGGGCGCAGCTCTCCTTCGTGCGGAGCTGCGGTGCTGCATCTCGAGCGCGATGGCGCTGAATGCAGGGAGCCATGTGATGGTGCGGTACCGTGACGTCCCAGGCCCTGCCGCGTATCATGTGAGATTGGTTCTGGCTGTCCGCCCAGGGTCTTTCGATGCATATGGGCTCGCGCCGATCTCGACCACTACGAGGAGTCGTACACCGTCGGGGTCGACTTCGTCAGTGTGCACGTTTTGACGTACGCTAGGCAGGTGCCGCCTGGGGTCGCAGCTGGACAGGTCTACGGTTTCCGTGCGGCGTTGGCCCAGGCGATGATCGACGCCTTCGCGATGCTCGGGGCTCACCGCCTGGGTGTGCCGTGTGTGCCGCTGCCGTTCGTGTGCCAGTTCAACCCGCCCAGCGGTGATGCAGGCGCGGCTGCGGCCACGGCGGCCGGCGCAGCGCCAGATGCTGCGCTGCCTGCCGGTGCGGCCGCGGCCTTGGTGTCCGCGGGGGGGGCGCCGCCTGCCCCAGGAGGCGGAGGCCTCCTGCCCCCTGGTGGCGCCGCCGCGGGCGCGGCCGCCGGCGTGGCCGGCGGCGCCACGCTGGGCATCCCGCCTGGGTTGGGCGGAGGCGCCGCCGCCGCTGCGGCCGCGCTGGGCGGCATGCTGGTGCCTCCGCCTGGGCTCAGATGGTACGCCGTGGAGGATCGATGGGCGACGTCGTTTGCCATCAGCTGCCACCGGGCGCCCTCGTGCTCGGCGACCGTGCCCTCCTCCACGTGGCTGGCGTTTCGGTGGCGGTGGCGCAGCTCTCCGTTGCGGACGCGATGGTGCTGGCCAAGGGCGATGCTCGCACGTTGGCTGTCAGATATGATGTCCAGGGCGAGCGCCGTCGCCTTTGGGGCGACGCGCTGGCCCGCTCGTCGGAGGAGCACATGCCTGGGGATCTCCAGGGCCCTCGCACCGTCATCTGGTTCATGAAGCACGTGCGGGACAACGGCAACAGCGCCTTCCACTCGCACGAGAATTGGGTGCGCCTCTCCAAGGCGCCGCCGGGAGATCGGAGCATCTTCGAGCATGAGGTTCTCAGCCGCATCCTCGACGCAGCGGCGATGCAGGATCAATCGAACTGCCCGTCTCTCCTATGCATGGAGCTGGCCTCGCGACGTCTCGCGCTGAGCAAGGAGGCGCACCGAGTCTCGCCGAGCCAGTCCCGACTACAGCGCTGCCGACCGGCACGCGGATTGGATGGCGCGGCCATCGCGCCGAGCATCTCGGCCCACGTCGCCGACCAGCTCTGGCCAGAGTCGGCGATCTTGAAGGAGGCTAGGAAGGCGCGGGAGCAGACCAACGCGAGGGCCAAGGGCCGCGGCGAGACAGAGGGCGCGGCGGCTGCCAAAGCCGCAGGCGAGAACTGACGCGGCGCGGGCCGCGGGGGCGGCTCGCCAGCCTTGCTATCCAGTTCCGCCTCAGGGTGGCGAGGCTCGGCGCGTGCCCGCGGAGCTCACCCCGCTCCCGACTTTCGACGAGGCGACGCCGGACGCCTCCCAGCTTTCTCGCTCGAGCCCTCCTCCTCGTCGCCGGCGCCGCCAAGGGCGGACAGGGGCGCGGCCCAGGCAGCGGCTCAGCGCGCAGTTTTGAGGCACGGTCTGCCTGCAAGAGTGCCTGCTTTTCCTCGGCAGCGGGAAGCCGCCCGCGAGCCTCTCGGCTCCGACCTCGTCTACGACAGTGGAGAGGTTCCAAGTACTGTGGCCGGGCATGGTGCCGCTCGGATTGCGGTGCTGGAGGAGTTGGGGCAGCCTCCCGCCGCACTTGACGTTCTCGACCCCGAGGGGGCCCGCTGCCTTCGGGAATTTCGGTCGCGCGTGATGTTGTCTGAGGATTAGTCCGGCCAGCGGTGCGAGAGCGAGGCCCCGGTCGCCCCCTACATGGACCCGACGCTCGCCTCGGAACCTGGCAAGTATGCGGACTTCGTGGCCTGGCTGGACCGTGCCAACATGCCGAGGTACTCCACCAACGCTCAGGATCTCATCGCGCCGTTGTTCGTTCTGAAGAAGTCTGGGCAGTTGTGTATCGCGTGGGATTGTAAGCCAGTCAGCACGAGGTTCGCGAGGTGCCCGAAGATGAACATGTCGTCGGGGAGCAAGCTGGCGGACCTCGTGTTCGGGCAGGACGAGGAGCTCTACACCGCGCAGGCGGACCTGGCGAACTACATCTATCACCTCGCGATCGCCGAGGAGCTGCCCGAGTACTTTGCCCTCCCCGCGGTCGACGTGACCTTGCTGAGGACCGCGTGCAGGCTCCCGCGCGTCATCGCGCAGCTGCCCGAGGGCAGCCTGGTGTCGCCCTGCCTAGCGGCGGCCCCGATGGGCTGGAGCTGGGCGACGCGGGTTGCCCAGCGCGCGGTCCACCACCAGCCCATGCGCAGCAGGGCCGTCACTGTGGATCGCATCTTGAGTGACGAGCGGCCCGCCCCCGACATGTCGGATGGCAAGCCGGCGTGGCTCGCCTGCGCCGACAACTTGAACGTCGCGGGCTCCGACGCGCAGCGTGCTCTGGCCCTGCGGGGCGAGCTGGTCGACCACTTCCGGCGCGTCGGCTTCGTGGTGCGCGAGATCTACGGGCCCGCCGTGGATGCCGTCACGCCGGGCTATAAGGTCATGGGCCGAGAGAGGCTCGTCGCCCCCACGGACTGCAAGCTGGAGTTGCTCAGGGCTGCAGAGCTCTGGCTCCTTCGGCGGCCCCGCGTCAGCGGCAGAGCTGCGGAGCGGTTCGTGGGTCGCTGCGCCCACCTGTGCATGTTGCGTCGTGATGTGTTCGCTATCTTCCATCACGTCTCTTCCTTCATCTCGGCTCGCGCCGTCAGCCGCTGCCGTGTCTG